GTGGAGAACAGGAACTGTCACCAGCACCCCCAAGGCTTGTCAACTGTTACAAATGAGACTTGATTTTGACCTGTGCATTCTCTGGGGTCCTAGTCAGTTTGCTGCTGCTGCTGCTGCTGCTACGGCGGCACTGGAATACCTGAATAATTTATAAAGGATGGAGATGTATTTGGCTCATGGTTCCCAGAGCTGAGAAATCTAAGAGCACGTAGCTGGCATGGAGAAAGGTCTTTTATGCTGCATGCTCCCAGGGAAGAAGATGGAAAGGCAAATGGGGGAGAAGCTTGCTTTCCTATCAAGTCCATCCTCACAGTGACTAACCCAAACCCACAATAACGCCATTCATTCATTCATGAGGGCAGAGTCCTTTTGACCTGGCCACCTCTTAGCAAGTCCCACCTCCCAGTTCTGTTGCTCTGGGGAGTCACATACAAACCATAGCACCTGACATCTGGTGACAAAGGAAACATCTGTCCACGTAGCTAGCATTTCTACAGCTACCACCTTCTCAGCTGTGGAAACAGACAACTTACAGTATGGATAAAAATATTTTCTAAGAATGAAGTGTTTGGCATGCCTTCATTTTAGTGATCATGTGTTCCAAATTTGGGAGGGAGGTGTAAAGTCCTACACGTTCGATCTTGTCTATCCATCACAATGCCCCAGAAATGCCAGCGTTTCAAAGTTGACTTCTTCCCACTCAAAAACTGCCCAGAAATCGTGGACAGATGATTTTGGTTTAGAAAATGTGTGGTTTCCAATTTCACCTGGGCTCCAGGAGCAGCTCTCCAAATTTTGTTGTTGTTGCTATTGTTGTTCCTTACCACACCAGCCGCTACAAGAATTTAGCGATTCTCGGTCTCCCGAACCTCCAACAGGGTGGTGGCATCTGACTCCTTAGGAGATAATTTTCTCTTCATTGGGGAGAAAGCAGCCTTTGGAGGGAACGTTTAGACAAGCATGACTTAGAGAACTCACTTGCCAGTCTAAAAGTTCCAGGTGTTACTGACTTTGAATTCTACATACTTGGTTGTTAAAGTCTGGTTCTTCTCCTTGCTCTACCCCAGTGCAGAAACAAAACAAAAACAAGATGAAAGAACCACTCCAAAGCCAAGATGAAGAATAGTTTGTAAATTATAGTGTGTGTATATATATATGTTTATATATACATATATGCATATATTATGATACACATATATGACACACAGACATACTACCAATATCTTTAAGTGTATAGTTCAGCTTTATTAGGAATATTCACTTTCTGAGCAGCTGTCTCAGCTATTCAGCTCCCGAACTCTGTCTTTTCTAATGGAAACTCTGCACCTAATGAAACAGTGAATTTCTCGTGTCTTATTTGGTTTGTGCCTCTGTAACAAAGCATCAGAGCCTGGATATTCATAAGGAACAGAAATTGATTTCTTGTAGTTGTGGAGGCTGAGCAAGCTAAGATCAAGGTGTCTTGTGAGCTTCCAAGATGACTGCTGTTGCTGCCTCCGCCAGGGGGGACATGTGTTGTGTCTTCACTTGGCTGAAGAGACAAAAGGGCAGGAAGCAGCTTACAGAGCTCTCTTCAGTGCCCCCCTCTTTCTTTAAAAAGTATTTTACTGCAGTGTGTGTGTGTGTGTGTGTGTGTGTGTGTGTGTGTGTATGTGAACACCTGTGTCACAGCATGCATCTGGAGGTAAAAAGACAAATTGCAGGAGTGGGTTTTTGCATTTCACCAGGTGGGCCCTGGGTAGCAAATTAAGTCCTCAGGCTTGGTGGCCATCTCCCGCCACCCTAGGAAGAGCGCTACTCCATTTGCAGGAGAAGAGCCCTCATGACATAATCATTTCCCCAAAGCTCTTACCTCCACTTACACTATCACATTGGAGTGTTAGGTTTCACCATAAGAGCTTAGGACATACACTTAAATCTAGTCACCGCCATCCCTTGATAGCTTGTGTTCTGTGATTGACTATTTTTTCTTTTCACTTAGCATGATGTCATCTCTCTCCTTTAAAAGAACAGTATTTTTTTCTAATGACTTTTATTATTATTATTATTATTATTATTATTATTATTATTATTATTTTGGACAGAGAAATACCTTAGTTGGTAAAGTACTTGCTGCACATGCCCGAAGACCCAACTTCAACCCCCAACACTCATGTAAAAAGTTGACTGTTGCTGGACACCTATAATAGCTGCACTGAGGAGTTAGCTGTTGGGGGCAGGAGGGGCCCTGGAGCTTGCTGGCCTGCCAGCTTAGACAGTCAGCAAGCTCCAGGTCTCAAAAGAGAAGATGAATAGCAACAGAGTGACTGAGGAAAACACCTAACATTGACCTCTGGCTTACACATTCACATATAAAACCGAGGGGGTGGGTGGGAAGGGGGGAGAGAGAGAGAGAGAGAGAGAAACATACACAGAGACAGACAGAGACACAGACACACATGCACACACACACACACAGAATTAAAATAATCCATGTATATGTGTGGTGTATACTCATCTCTGTGTATGGATACACATTCCATGCCCAAATATCTTGCGCTAACACTCTCTTCTGGATTCCTTGAGACAGAGTCTTCTACTGAACCCAGAGCTTGCTGTTTTTTGATGAGGCTGCGTGTCCAGTAAGTCCCTGAAAGCCCCTCAATGGTTGAGTTCCAGGCATTCTTGCCCACACCAGACTTTTATGTGGGTGTTGGTAGTTTAAACTCAGTCTCCTCAGTCCTAAATTAACGTTTACTTGTCATTAAAAATAATTTAATTATAGCATTTTTATACTTTCTTTGTTTTGGCTGATCCTGCTTTTTCCATAAGTCTCCTCCACTCCTGTTTCCCCTTTCTGGCAAGTTCCCCCTTCTCGTGATCCCCATACACATGTACTACCAAGATCACACACACACACACACACACACACACACACACACACACACACACACACACACACAATAACTGCAAGTCCAAGATCTTCACTTAATGCAATAATTCCAAGCTCCACCCATCCACCATTTTCTTGCCACTGTCATGATTTCATTTTCCTTCGTGGCTGAATGAAATGCCATCGTGTATATGTGTCACATCTTCACACACTCACCTGTCTGTGGGCACGTCTTAGCTACTGTGAAGAGAGCAGCGATGAATAGAGATGTGCAAGCATTTCTGTGATGTGTTGAATTAGAGTCTTTGAGGTATAGACCCAGGAGGGATACAGCTGGGTCATATAGTGGTCCTGTTTTAAGTCCTTTGGAAAAAGTCCACACAGACTTCCATAGTGGCGACACCAGTTTATACTCCCACTCCCTTTCTCCATGCCCTCAACAGCGTTTGTTAACATTTGTTTTCTTGATGATCGTCATTCTGACTGGAGTGTTTTAGTTTTGCCATTGCGGTGATGAAATACCATGACCAAAAGCAACTCGGGAAGAAAGGATTTATTTAACTCACGATTCCATATAACAGTTCACCATCAAAAGCAGTGAGGACAGGAACAAACAGGGCAGGAACCTGGAGGCAGGAGCTGATGCAGAGGCCATGGAGGGATGCTGCTTACTGGCTTGTTCCCCGTGGCTTGCTCAGCCTGTTTTCTTGTAGAAACCAGGACCACGAACCCAGGATGGCTACTCACATGGGCTATGCCCACCTCCGTCCACCACTAGTGAAGAAAATGCCCTATAACAGTGGTTCTCAACTTTCCTAATGTTGAGACCCTTTAATACAGTTCTTCATGTTATGGTGACCCCCAACCATCAAATTATTTTTTGCTACTTTATAACTGTAATCCTGCTCCATTACAATGAATCATAATGTAAATATCCATGTTTTCCAATGGCCTTAGGTGACCCCCCTGTGAAAGGGTCATTCTATCCCCAAGGGGTTTGCAACCCACAGATTGAGAACCGCTGCCCTATAGGCTTGCCTATTTTTTGGAGACATTTTCTTAATTGAGGTTCCCTCCTCTCAGATCATTACAGCTTGTGTCAAGTTGATATAAGACTATCCATCACACTGCGGTGAGATGGAATCTCAAAGTAGTTATAAATTTAATTGAAGGGATAATAGTCATGGTGTGTGTGTGTGTGTGTGTGTGTGTGTGTGTGTGTGTGTGACATTTTGCTTATCCTTCCATTGGCAATGATGTGGGTTGCTTTTCTATTTTGGCTATTGTAAATTATGCTGCCATGAAATTGGGTTTATAAATACATTTTGACTCCCTGATGTTCATTATTTGGGGTACATATCCCAAAGTGGGATTCCAGAATCATATATGGTAATTCTATCTGTAGTTTTTGAGGATCTTCCCTACCGCTTTCCACAGAAGTGGTATTGT